TTTTAGAGTTACCTTAATCAGAGTGGCAAAAGTGCCTCGAAAATTGGTTCGAGCCCATGCAGAAGTGTATAGAACTTAATGTGGAGAATTTTTAAAGACGTAAGGCGACTTTAAATGAATAGTATTTGTTTCTGCTCTCAAATCTCAAATTATAAAAGGAAACCTATGTAGTAATTAACTTGGAGGGCATCTGTCTGAAGCGACAGGAAGTATTGGAAGGCTCTGAGGTTGTGCAAAATCCAATGATGAAATCTTGAAGGATCTTAGCACATCCAACTGAAAATGTGAGGACACGCAGTCGAGGTTACGCCATGGAGACCACAGTGGGTTACGCGAAGAACACAGATGGCTACATTGAGAACAAGTTAATACGATTCAACGAAGCACTGGAGCCTACAAGAATGTGTCCATACAATTCCATAACCTTCCGGGAAAGCTTCAACAAAGAGTTTTTGCGCTGAACATTATTTAGTTCTCTTTGAGCCACGAGAACAGATTCCCAAATGATATACTGTATTTCACAAAAATTGCATAAAATCATTTCGTGAATGCGCAAAATGGTTGTGGGAGCTAGGGTCCACTTAATTTGTCATCATCGGAACACTGTGACCCTCGTCGACTGATCGTCGATCGCGTGACAGATAAGAATGTCCCGAACACCACTACCGTAACGCAAATTCGATGGCATAGAATATGTGATAATATTAATCCCAAAAAAGATCGTTGCTTTTACTTTTTTTCATTCCCCTTTGAAGAAAAGTTTTCTTAGTCATCCTCATGTAAGATGGAACTGCGCAGCCTTTATACGTGATATCATAGTCGCGTCACATCTGAAAAATCGATTATTTTAAAAACTAAATGTACTGAAGGGCAAGCATTCCCTGTCTTCGCTACCGAAAAAGCATCGTATTAATTTCTGGTCAAACTGCAGCTCAATGCCGAAAACACGTGCGACTAATAGAGAAAAACCAAAAAAGCAAAAAAAAAGAAATATCATTCGAGCTTTTGTGTTTATAGTGCTATCTAAGGAAGATATAAGGTGAAAGCCAAAACCTGGTTCATTAGGGCTCATATCGAAGGTTCACCCAAAACCTTCTGATTAAGCATGACAGCGTGTGATAGGCAGAAAGCATGACATACAGACCCAACCTTTCCAACAACTCCGTTCTAAATATGGGCAACTAGAAGATGAGATAGAGGACATTGATGAGTTCCACAATTAGTGTTAATCGGAACAGTTTAGCAATACATTCTTGGAAAAGCGCATGTGAAAGGCTTAATGGTGAATGAGTATTTTGTAGTAATTGTAGTTCACCTTCTGATGGATTCGGACAGAATAGAGCTAAGGTGTCAGATTATCTCTAAAAGCAGAGCTTATGATGAGCCCTTGTCACTTTCTTTTGTGAACAACATTTTTACGTATAAGAAGTGAACAGAGCGTTTTCACAGGTCTCTTTTACCATCACTGCCTGGTAGTTGCCATTGGCGAATTTGAATTCTACAGTTGTTGAAGCTGAGCAACGTCGAGTCATAAGGATGGCGTAAAGAAGACTTGGATAAAACTAGATAAAACTATATAGAAGGACAAAAATATTTTCTATTAAGAGAAAAATCAAACGGCTAACGGGCTAATGATATAGCTAGGGACAGTGGTTGCAAAAAAGGATATTTACCTCGTATCTGGTAATCTGTACTGATAGGCAACGACTGACACTCCGGCAGAAAATTGCCAGGAGCAAATGGATGCTTTGGCCAAACAAACATACGACTGAAATTTTGGCTGACAACATTCACATAAACATCCTACTTCCTACTAATTTCGATGTTTTGGGAAAATCTGAGTCGGTTCATCGGCAGACCACCGTTTATCTCATATTCGACTGATTTAACGCCAGAAATGATCTCACGTAGCCTGTTTATAATGGAGAGAAATATCTCTGGTGGTTCCTCAATTCCTGTATTGGTCGCTGCTAGATATCTCCTTCTCTCTTTATCCATCTCATCTACAGTACCTTCGTCTATGCATTTGCATATCTCTTATCGTTATGTGCGTAAAGTGACAGGCCCACTCCCGACCCATATCCCAAGGACAATGCCCTCTCTGTCGCATATATAAAGACGATCTCCGGATGCCATCTCACCCTGCTTCGTTATGGAGACCAAGGAGGACAACCAGCGGTATGTTTCCTTCACATTATGCGACCAGAAGAGTTTTGATATAAGCCTCAACGTTTGGTCTTCTTTAAAACTAATATATAGAACAATCAATTTATTTATTCAAAGAAGTAAAAAGGGTCTGCTAGGAGAGTTTCTGTGAGAGGTGTTCCTTAGTCCCAAAACTGCCCATATCAGCGCTAGGACACCTTGATTATGCAGTACCCCTTTGCCTGATAGTGAATCAGACCCTCTCTTTATGCTCTTGGTTCTCATGGTGAAGAACGGTCTAGGTTACCTAGCCTGACGTCCTGGAAAATCCATTATTTTTTGAAAGCCTGGGGGAATTTTGAAACTTTCGTAATGACGCCCAACTTATACGTAATGGTCCTATTCCTTGCATTGTTGTCGTGAAGAGCTGAACTACTCTATGAACTTAATTACATTTGTTCATACGATTACATTCTATGTTAATGATTTCTTGGTGTTGTTATACAGTAATAAAAAAACAGGCGCCCTCTTTCGATAAAAGCCAGGATAGGGTCAGCAAAATAACCTCTTTCAAGTTTAAACTACCTTTGTACTTAGTTAGCTTAGATACTTAGCTTTTGATTGATAGCTTTCGGCCTGAGAAGGCCCTTACTACCATGCACCTGGCAGGCTGCAATAACTGTAATAATTCAGCATGCGCTCGATCGCATTCTTTGCGGTAGCCGTCTCGACGGCCGCTGTGATCGCCTCCGCCATCACCACCCCCATGCTGTACAGCTACGTGCAGACTCTCCAAAGTCAGGTCAACGCTGAGACCGAATTCTGCCGAGTGAGTCAGGAAATCGGCTGCAGAGCGTTTTAAGGCATAAGGGAAGCTGAGCTTCGTTACTAAGAAATTGTTTTCAGTTGCGCTCTCGTGATATGCTCGTTAGCATGTATCAGATGGCTCCTAAGGGCCGTGCCAAGAGAGGATGGCTGTTCGGACAGTGGGTACCTGATGGTGGAGCTGGAGGTGGCGCTGAATACGGTGGCGCGTCTAACGAGGTGGGAATGTTTGTTCGGAGAGTAGTGGACGATTTTATATAGATTTGAAAAAATTCTGACCTGAAAACAAATTCTGCATGTTTTCAGCAGGGCTATGGGCCAGCTCCCCCACCAAGCAACGGCTACGGTCCCGTTGTCAACGCCGAACCCGAACCACAGTGCTGCACTTGCCAGCAAGGTAAGTAAGGTTACAGGTTTTCCACGCGTTTTTTAAAGTTCGGTGAAGAATATGCCGTTTCCAGGACCAGTCGGACCCGCTGGTCCTCCTGGAGATGATGGTAAGGACGGACACGATGGCGAGAAAGGAGCTGATGGCAAAAATGGACGCGACGGTGGCATTGAAGGTTCTGACGGACTTCAATCTGAGCCATGCGTTATCTGCCCACCTGGACCACCAGGTCCACCTGGAAATGCTGGTGCTAAGGGACCCCAAGGACCTCGTGGAACTCCTGGACTTTCTGGAGTCGATGGACGTCGTGGAGAGCCCGGTATGGTTGGACCTGCTGGACCCGGTGGAGAGCCCGGTGTTAGTGGACCTAAAGGAAAGAAGGGTGAAGATGGTCACGTCATCAACGTTAACGGACCACCTGGACCACCTGGACCTCCTGGTCCAAAGGGCCGCAAGGGAGAGCGTGGACCTAAGGGACGTGTCGGAGCCGTTATTCCTGGCCCACAGGGACCAGTTGGAGACCAAGGAAAGAAGGGTCGCTCTGGACGGAAGGGAGAGAACGGAGGTCCTGGAGGACTCGGATCCAAGGGACCTGATGGCGACTGCTTCCACTGTCCTACACCCAGAACTCCTCCCGGCTATTGAGCGGAGATGGCAATCCAAGGAAAGCCTTGAGATACTTAACTTATTGATTTACGCAATAAATGTTGTAATACTATTGTTCTTTATTCACACATTTGAATTTACTCTGTTGAAAGGAGAACAGCAGTACAACATTGCAGGAATGCAGAAAGTACACTTTCCAGAGGAAATTAAATGAAAGCAGGCTTACAAAAATGCGGCATTATCGTAGTTGCTTTTTCAATTACAGTTACACAAAAAGAATATGGATAAAAACATGTGGGATGGAGAATGTTTTGAGATTTTCTAGCAATTTCACCTACTACTTTTCCCTGCGCGAAACCAGAACATTCTCGCCTTTTCGCCGTCAACTAAGGATAGCTTATCGATACGAACGCATGCTCGACCCAATCATGATACCAGTTTGCGGATTCGAATGCGAGACAGACGCCATGTCATGTTTATCGTGTTTTAGAGAAATACCTTGGAAACCTCTGTTCCATGTTGAATGAAGGAGAAGACCTTATCACTCCTGATCACCTACAACATTCCGCGTTGTTTGGAGATCAATTCAAAAGAACGTAAATTGAACGGTGTATTGTGTCTTTCTTAACGTTCTAAAACAACAGATGAAGGCCGTTTTTCGGAGTTATTATACAAACTGTGGCCTGGAGGAAGGGGAGGTGAATTTGAGATTGCATGTTATGTATGTGGATGCTTATGTGTTTTGTCTGTTGGTATGTTTCCGGGTGATTGGAGGGAAGAGTAGTGGGAGGGGTGGGTGTGTGTGCTCATCTGTCCATCCATCATGGAGCTCAGAACTTTCCCAACCTTCCCGTTCCTACTCCCTACTTCCGCACAACCATCTATGTTCCGTCAAAGTATGAACACGGAGGGTCGAAAATTTTGCTATATACAATTACAGCTTTGTTGCGTGGTTGACACTCTCTGTAAAAATAATTTGCCACAAATTGGCCGTGCACTACGATTTGTCTCAAAAGTAAGACATCCGAAGCATCCGGCTTCCTTCAATAAACAGGTTATGGTCAATGCCTCTACAGAGCGAAATGAAACCATACAATCACAAATCTTTTGAGCTATTTTAAGCGTGTAAGAATCGTGGTTTTCTTCTTGGGAAAGCATTTCCTTTCCTTCTTTTTCCTGCACTCGCCTGCGAAGAACGATTGAGCTGGGTCTTTCAGCTGATGATACGGACTGCTTTGTTGTGTTGTGTTCATGAACAAACAGCCACTAAGTTCTTAGTAGCTCGACCATGCGAAAAAATAACTCCTCAATAAAAGCGGGATCCCTGAAAAGGATAAAGGACAAAGTTTTAGGGCGTTGATCAATCCTGTCTATAGGATGCGCCCGCGCCTTCGACTTCCATTCAGAATCGTAGTGGCGTAATGAATTCGACTCATGTGTATGAGGTGCGCCACGCCGCTACAACACCTCTGCCCTGAACATTGTGATAACATGAATAAACTCTTAATTAGATCGATGACATAAGAAGCTTATAATTGTAGGAACTGAAACGTTTATTTCTAATGTTCTCCATGTGAAGTAGTGATTTGGTGTGCAGGCTTGTTTATCGGCCGCCTAACTGCCCAAAAAAATCCCAAGATCCTCAAACTTACGTGGTATCAGTCAAGTAAGGTAGGTCAATGAATGTTAGCGATAGCGCTTAGCAGTGCAATTCCTGCCATGCTGTTCAATAACGATCACTATCGATTCGTGTCGTGATTGAACGAATAATGATTGTTGAGCTCACAGCCCTGATTTGTGGGTACTAGCAGTTCATTATGCACTAAAGTGTGAAATGATCTTATGGGAGCTTATTCAGCTTTAGATATGATCAATTCAGAGTGTGACTACAATAATGACGAATTGTTATACCGAACCTATCGATGCTGCTCAAAAAATTCGAAAAGCAGTCATCAAAACAAAAATCATAAAAAACAGCTAAGAGTTGATCTTCCTCTGGTAGACATCCACGAAGCGAATTGTACTTCGCAGCCTGCTACTCACTTTCACTCGAACGCGATGTTCGCGCGCAGCCACTCTTGCCTTCCGGGATGTTGTGTGGGCGTACGGGATTCGACGGCGATACCAGTTATTCGCGATCTCACTTATTCTGGTCACCACAGGGGTATAAAAGTCGGGCAGTAGATCGTAGAGAATCGTCATCGCCGCACGATGGAACAAAAGGAGACCGACGAACAGCTCCAGATGCGCCGCGTCGCGTTTTTCGCGGTTGTCATCTCCACAGCGGCTGTTATCGCCAGTGTCGTCACATTGCCAATGCTCTACAGCTATGTGCAGTCATTCCAGAGCCATCTCATTGTCGAAACCGAGTACTGCAAGGTAACTTTTTCTCTGCATCTTCCATCAGTCTTAATGTGAGCTGTTCTGCTGATGAATTGATTAATAAAGAAAGTAGGATGAGTGGTTTCTGCATTCAAGGAGGAAACTATTTCGATTACTGTTACGAGTGCAGAATAGACCCTTACGAGAATTACTAGACTTTTCCAAGAACTTTCTTGAAAGTGCGTTTCTGTTAACACATCATTCGTTTTTTTTTCAGAGTCGAGCGAGGGATATGTGGGTGGAGATGCAAGTGTTGCACAAATCTGGCGTTCCCCGATCTAAGAGAGAAGCTGCTGGCACGTGGTTATTTGGACAGTTTGTGCCAGATGGTGGAGCTGGCGGTGGTGGACATTACGTAGGCGGCCCCACCTCCGAAGGTGGAGGTGGTGGTGGGGGTGTTGGTGGTGTTGGCGGTGGTGGTGGTGGGAGCAGAGGCGGGGTTCCCTTCGCCAACGCTCCAAACGGTGGCCCATTGGGCGGCTTCATTGCTGGTGCTGGTAGCGCCGGCTCAACTTCCATTGACATTGGACCAACCTGCTGCCCCTGCCAACAAGGTACGTTTCGAAGTTACTTGTTTATCCTAGCGAAATCCTAACGTTCATTTTACAGGTCCTGCTGGTCCTCCTGGTCCACCGGGAGACGATGGACATCCAGGAAACGACGGTCATGCTGGCGCACACGGAGCTCCAGGAAAAGAAGGTTCCATCCTACAATCAGCTCTACCTCCTGCAGAGCCATGCCTCATCTGCCCACCTGGACCACAAGGTGCAGTCGGAATGCAGGGACCAAAGGGACCCCCAGGACCAAAGGGCAAGTCTCACGAGCGCGCTCCTGACGGAAAAGCAGGAGAAACTGGAATGATTGGACCACCAGGGCCACCCGGTATTGTTGGAGAAGCGGGACCTCCAGGACCCCAAGGACAACCAGGTCGCGTTATTCAGGTTAACGGACCTGCTGGTCCAGCTGGCCCTAGAGGAGAGAAGGGACCACCTGGCCCTAAAGGAGTTCCTGGAGTCAACGGCACGAATGAACCTGGCGAGCAGGGACCTGCAGGCGCTCAAGGAAATCCAGGACCCCCCGGCCAGCCTGGACCGCAAGGACCTCAAGGACCACCAGGACCATTTGGTAAGTTATTCTCCAAGAATTCGATAGTTCAATAGGTAGATAAGGACCCACTATTGGTTGGAGAATAATCTAGCCTAGAGGCGTTTATAATTGACAATTTTAGGAGAGGAAGGCTCGTGCGACCACTGCCCCGAGCCCCGTACTCCACCTGGCTACTAAACTAGCGGAGAGGGAAGGGCCTGTGGAGCGCTCCTCAGCTATCTCATCGGCCTTAAAATCTCTGCCGCCGGCACGACCGGTGTCTCATAATGCTGCATGCATGTACTCACAAGATTACGATCACGACAAGAATAATAATAAATCACATTGCTTCTATCAGTGGACCGATTGTTAGAAAATCACCTCGAAAGAAAGAGGACGAGGACGATAGTGTACCCTACGCCAGAACTTTATGCTTGACAGAATTTCCAATTAGGAGATTACTGTTTCTTAAATGAGTGAAACATTGTGTGGTATGGTGCAGGGTCAAGAAAGAGCAAGCCCTCATCAAGCAATGAAATAACTCACTACTGAACTCTCTGGGAACATTGAGAGTGGATTTTTCGCAAAATCTTCACTGTCATCGACCACACAATCGAGCAAATAACAGCAAACTCTGTTTGTTAAATGATTAAATAACGAAATCGCAATGAAACATGGGGCGGGTCATTATTATCCTACCCGATCAAGATTGCCGTAAAGGAAGAGAAGCAGTGGATCAAGAAGAAAATCGGGGTCGATAGGGGGGAGGCTGGGAGGAGATAGTGAGGTACTAACTCTAAGGATGGCACCTAAACTGATTGAGCTTAAAGAACACGACGCTCAAAGGCCCTTATTCATGGGTTAGGCTTCCTGTTGAGCAATCCTAGGTATCCACTAATAGGGCTGAGGCACTTAGCCAAGAGATAGCCAAATTTATTTAATGTTCACGAATATGTGGTTTCTTCCCTTCAATTACTTTCGATGTCCGAATTCCTTTCATTCCCCGAGGTAGTTTCGCACCCAATCATAGCAGAACGTTGTTTTATAATATTTGGATTGTGGGGTGCGGATATTCTGCGGGTGCAAGTTCTGTCTGAAAATGCCTAGCAGCGTGGTTAACTACGATGTACTTACGAACCATGAGAAGGCTCCGAATCGCCTGTAGGAGCTGGAACTGGGTTCAAAATACTGCGTGCACTAACAGAGCCAACTTTTTCGATTGATCATTTATTCGTTTAGAGTCGTGGTGATCTTATATATATATATATGTCATATTTCACGTGGCGGTGGAGGGAGTAAATGCTGACATCGTTACAAGCTGCGGATTTGAAGCGTAATAACTGCATTCTGTGAGGGAGCTTCAAATCGATTCATTAACGAAGCTGTCCACTCAACCTAGAAACTGGATCTGACTTGTCTGTTCACCGGGAATCACAATCACAATCGAAACGAATCGTCTACGGAGTAGCACGAGAAATGGGTCAGATTTCACTCGCTTCCTCATATGATCTTTCGTCGGCAACTACATTCCACCAGATTAGACGGACAGGATACGAACTTTTTCCTGAACGTAAGGCTTTTTTTCGGTTACTGTGCATTGGCATGATCACCATAGTTGATTGTGAAATCAGCTGACATTCTGAACTTCCTAGCTGGCTCCTATCGCACATCGAATTCTTCATTATCCCGCTTTGTCATAGTGTGCATCTGTAATGTGGAGCAAATCTCACCCGAGCTGGCAAAACTATCTAAAGGTCGGGCTACTCGCATCTAGAGCGTTTAGTTCCACGAGCATAGGTGACACATAGCCGCATCGACTCTTCACTCTTCACCCAGGACCGTTCTCTTCCCTTTCTATCCTAATACTTCCCATCGATGGAATATTCGAAACACTGTAGTGTCAGTGACGAGCACATCATCGTACAATGAACAACTAAAAGGAACAGAACAGTACTCGAGTAATGAACAGATTGCATCACATGAGATGCTGACCTGCAGAATCGCTCGCTTTTACGCAACAGAAAATAGAACAGCGAAGAGTAACCGATAACGTGAGCATTGAGCGAGGGTACACACTCAATCTTTCACTTGATTCGCGGATTAACTTTGTTTAGCCCTTATTGTCGCACACTAGAGCAGTTTCAACATAATAGGCTCCTTGCGGCCCATTGCCCTCGATGCTGCATTGAACCCTTTTAATTCATATTTCCATCCAATTTCAGGCTCAATCCTAGCACAGTGGAAATTCATGAGAATATTGGTAGTGACCTGGTTATCGTTAGATTATATCTTTCGAAATAGAGACCAGCTCAGATACCTGATACAGTTCAACACAGTGAGACACTCTGATTTCGTACATCCACACCGGACCAAATGCTTCTAACGCGAATTTGCAATTGATATCGTCATAATGTATTGAGTAAAAGGATTGTACAGCCATGAACCATCTCAGAAATGTTTAGTCTCAGTATCAGAAGGTTGACTGAATACAAAAATGGAAGCTATCATCGCTCAGTTTCCTACATGAAAGAGGCTTCAAAAAATTCAAAATCCAACTCTGCTGCCACTAGTCTGCAAAACAAAAGTTAGCCGTCATTATAATCCCTGGATTCAAGAGCAGCACTTCCTTCTACATGAACTAGGTGTGCATGAAATTTTTAACCATGTCCTCAACGGTGGAGGACCAGTATATAAAGGAAATCAACCGACCATGAGGCAACGTAAGCCAATAGATTAGCTAATATGAACTGAGACATTATTCTACAAATACACTGCCAAATGAATTAAAGTAAATACAATGGAATGGTGAAGAGCCCTCTCCCCTCCTGTTCATTCCTTCCAGTTGGGAAAAGTAGTTTGAGAAAGCCTTAAAGGGACAGTTTATGACCAAAATGGCTTCTAAGATTTCCCAGCAGGGTGAATACGTAACACACAAGTATGACCCCACCATCGTGTCAGAGAACGGGACGAGTAGGGCTCAATAAGGGCTTAAAAGATGTCTCCACCGTACGTCACATCCAGTAGTGGCAGCTGGTTAGAGAAAACAACTGTATGTAACGCAACAAAATAATAATAACGACAATAAAATGACAAAATGGCAAGTGTAGCATGGAAGCCTGCAGTTCCTACTAATGGGGACAGTGAAAAGTATTTTTAATTGCTGTAGTCAAGTCTTTACGCAATTGCGCGGCTGACTTCTCGTTTGAATACCTCCTCCCTGCCACCTTTACCATCATAATTTCATACGATCCCCTGACTTTACAATCGTGTTTAGTCGTTAAAGAATTTTGTTGCTGCGATTACTTTTGGACTTTTGCGGACTTTTGACTGCCACTTACAGTTAGAGCACTCGTTGCTCGTGACCTTACAGTGGCCCGTTGCCAGCCGCACTTCTTCACCTAATCCTTCCTCTGCTTACCATCCTACACTGTTCCTATACTGCTCTCTCTGCATGTAAATCTATAGTGACTGCCAGGTATAATACTGCAGATGGTCGAATCAGGCTCAAGTCGACGCACACACGTCCTTGTCTCCCAATAGGATAAATCATTATTGTCCATACCGAAATAAAGGCCCCTCAAAGGTGAATGGCGAAGGGACTTGACATTGAGCTGAACTATTCTTTACTGACAGCGGCTCGGCCAACCGACTGCAGTTACCAGTACAGGACGTCGAAGAGTTTCAACTAACAACTTTCGATTTTCAGGAAAAGAAGAAAATCGGGCAAGCCAACCGAGTGACGTTTGGGATACAGAGTGCAACCCTGTGCAACCTAGAGCTGCTCACACACAATGTCCTCACACGTTCACTTGAGACGCCAACTTCTTATAGGCAATAGGGAACTCATTCAATTTCTAAACTTACATATGACATGGAAAAAAGATAAGAAGAAAATAACAACATCCATTCTGCTTGGGAGTTATCGGCTATGGAGTTTAATGCGAACTGACGGACCATAAATAGTCTTTTGTGGCATGAGGGAGGTCGAACCCGTGCAGATAAGTCAGGGAATGATCGACCGGCCAAGAGGCGCAGTTTTGGCGGGAATTATTTGGATAAAAAGAGGGCGAAGAGCATTTTAGAGGTCTTCACGACTGCAGAACCCAGAAGGGGGTCCAAACTGCGCCTCTCCCCACCCGGCTTCAAGCGCCCGAATCCGACTTCTTCAACCCGGCCCGAGGACTTCATCGCCTGGGCCCCGAGTATTCTACTAACCCCGTTTTTTCCTTCTGCTCCTGTATCATTATTTGATTGTTATTTTTCGTTCAAAGTTGTCTTTGTCCGCGTTTCGGATAAATTTATTGTTATCCGCGTGCAACTGTGCCATCCGTTGAGACGGTCTTAATTCGAGAAACCGGGTTTCGGTGCTACACTCTCAACAGCTTCAAGATGATGTAAGTGAATGGGAACACCTCTGGTACATAGCTCTTATCCAACACAATAGCTTCTACAGAAAGCGAAGTATCTCGGCAGGAAAAATCGAACGACAGAGAGGAATCTTCACCTTTTGAAATCTCTTCCCAATCTTGTGAGAACAATGAAGATGCTCAAGTAGTGAGAACAATGAAGATGCTCAAGTAAAAGGAGACGATCAAGATGGCGAAATGACCGAGAACAATTTTTGCAAAGGACAAAAATCCGAGAAAACAGCTGATGACGCGTACTTACTCAGACTGATTTCGGAGACTATGATACAGACACAAAAAAGAAGCGCATCGCCAGTCTGTTCCAGTTTGTTCCTCAAGAAAGAAGCGATCGTTCGAATCAGAGCCACGAAAGCCGAACACGAAGTAACTTGCGATACACGCTCTATGAAGCGCCTCACCGAGAAAGTGAAAGAGTGGAAGAACTAGAGAGAGGATACAACTGCTTAAGAGAGAAAGATTGCTTACAAATCACAGCTAGTCGAGATCCTTGTAACATGCGCGTCCTATGAGATGAAAGGAGCACACTTCTCCGACTTCTGTCCCAAACTTCGTGATGGACCCCAAAGATGTCGCACTATACGATTTAGTAAAAGATGCCACTATTGCTTAGGATGGTGTGAAGGCCAGAAAAGCTGTGAGTAAAAGGG